TTAGAAATAAAAGCTTATTTAAATCTAACGTAATAAAATAGTTTTAGACGAAAACATTTCTGGTTACCTTCACTCTATAGTTTGATACGATCCAATAAGCGGTAGGCATATTTTGCCTTCTAAGTAAAGTTCACGGTTCACGGGGATACTGATTATTACTGATTATTTCTGATTATTTTTGCATAGAATAAGTTACCCGGGCAATTGATTTACATCAGCCAATCAGACGAATGTACTCCTATGAGGTTTGACCCGGGTTGACCCTTGTCAATAGTCACATAGGTTAAGCTTGAAAATATATTTAAAATAAACCATCGGAAAATCTCGGCTTTTGTGTCAAAAACTTTCGTGAGTTCATTCATTTTCTACATCGGAAAAAACCGGTTATTGCAATCTATCTATCCATTTAACTGACCCGGGTCAAGCCAATTTTTGGCCCGTGACCCGTCAAAATTCTGACCCGTACGGGTCAAGCCAACCCGGGTAACAGCTCTAGTGGGAGTTTAAAAAATCGGTTATGTTTTGAAATTCTGAAATCAAAAAACTAAATTGAGAATCATTGCAGCGAATTTATGAAATACCCCAAAATTTGAAAATTTTGACTACTAGTATGTAAATATAAATTTTTGCCGAGATAATCAATGTTTCCCCAGTTTGGGTGCGTCGTTATAATAAATTTATGTCTAATAAAGGTGGGGAAGATGGGTTAGACGCGTTATCAGTCCAGATCAGAGGTTCAAAATTTTTTTTCAGGGTTTTGTATTTATGTAATTTGGGAACTAAAGTTTAATTTTGGGACAAAATACACGGATTTAGTGACCAAATTTTATCTAAATTTCATAAATTCGCCGTGATGTACAAATATGGAATTTTTAAACATTTTTTTTTTAAAAAAAAAAAGTAAAAATCGCTCAATATGAAGTCATTTTATCCGAAATCAGATGCCGAAATATTTAACTTTGAAACCCCGGATGATTCGAATAATAAATGTTTTTTCTTTAATATATACTGGGTGTCCCAAAAGTTCCTATACATGGTCCCTTTTTTTTTAAGTGTTGTATAAATAATCATCGTGATCTCTATATATAAGGTCACTTTAAAAAAAAGGGACTGTGTATAGGAACTTTTGGGACACCCGGTATATATACAGTATCTGATATACGTACATATATGTATTATGCTATTACAGCTATATATCTTGAAAAGCACCAGTAAATTAAATATATTCCAAGAGCCTTATACTGTATTTATTCGATTGTATTAAGAACCTTAGAATAAGAGCAGTACAGAAACCTCTAATGATTAAATCACGATGAACATTTTGAACAAGTTTGTCTGTTGTAATTATCACATGCCATGCAATTGTAATCCCATTAAAAATCTCCGAATACTCTTAACAAATTTAAAGATTTATAGTGCCCTCTTAAATAAGAGTGATAAACATTTCTACAGAAACTTACCAAGACCTTGTAGTTAGTATAGATCACAGAAAAATATTAAAGGTCTTCTGTCACATTAATCTGAATGCATTTCGCAACTTTTTAATTGATTTCACACGATTGGGCGTTATCACAGGATATAAAATGAATTATTTAATTTCATGCGACAATTTTATTTAATTTTATTGGACAGACTCTGTCATTGTTTAAATCTTTTTTTATATAGTATCTAATAAATAAGAAACATGAATCCCTAGAAGAAAATATAAATAGGCATCGATTAATGTGCCGCTTCCAGTACTAGCAATTTGAAGTCAATTCTTTTTTTTAACGGATTTGTGGTCTACTGGAACACCGCCAGAACGACCACTGAAAGCAAAGTTCGAACCTGTGATCGGAAATGAACTTGCATTTACAGAATTATGCTGATTCTTTGCTAACAAATGCATAATTCCAGCCTATTTTCGGTCATGTTTTTCGAGCTTTTGGTGGTCACCGTTGGTTGGCCGAGTCACTGTACTGCGTTCTGTAATACAACAATACCTATGTTATCAGGTTTTTCGCTGCTCGCATGATACTTCTGGTGTATTTTCTACGAATCATTTGAGATAATTAAAAGTATCATGGTTCCCATAATATTTTTTGATCTATTCTTATATACGAATAGTGAAATTATATGAGGCACTAAAAATGTGGTATGTAAAATATATTAAAAGCTAAGGTGTTGGTTGGGCAGACTTAACATATCCGTTATTATTTAGGTCACAGAATTAGTTAGTCTCACTAGTTAGACTTAGGCTTAGCACCTAACTCTCTTTATTCTATTCATACAGTATTTTAGGGTTTCTTTTGTCATTGTCAGGCTGGCATTTAATGGATATGCACCTGATGAATTAAGTTGTACCGCTAGAAAAATTTAATTGCCGTTCTCGGTGTTATTTTTACATGATGTGATACTTATTATATTTTACTGTGTTTCACAAAAAGTATTTATTTTCGTATGTGATGAAAAGTTTAATAGAGAAGGGACTACATAAATAATAAAAAACTCCAATCCTTAATAAAAGTTTTACAATCCGTTTTACTCGTGGCTCGAATATTACCATTAATTTCATTATTCAGCGTAATATCGTCCTGAAATAATAGAATTTTGATTCTTGCCTCTAAGTTGAGCTGAAAGATTTATTTTTAAATCGAAATGACTTAAATTTTTAAAAATGACTCAAGTAATAAATAATCCCGTGATCGCATAACAACAAAAAATTACAAAATTAAAATTGTTTTTACTTTAAATTCTTAAGCTTTTTTTTTGTTTCTGAATCGAAATAATTATACTGAAGATCTAAAGAAGTTAAATTAGTGTTTTTGTAAAGTGCATTCATTAATGCTTTTCCACCCTCTGACCCAAGTTTATTCCATTTAAGATCTAAAGAAATCAGGGTGGTGTTTTTGCAAAGTGCATCTGCTAACGCTTTCCCACCTTCTATTCCAATTTGATTATTTTCAAGATATAAGGATGTCAAAGTGGTATTCTTGCAAAGTGCATTTGCTAAAGCTTTGCCTCCCTCTGATCCAATTTGATTATTCCAAAGATTCAAAGAAGTCAGGGTGGTATTATTATAAAGCGCTTCTGCTATCGCTTTTCCACCCGCTGGTCCGAGTTGGTTTTGATAAAGTTTCAAAGAAGTCAAAATGGTATTTTTGAAAATTGCTTTTACCAACTCATTTATTTTTTCTGAATCAAGCCGTTTATAAGAAATTTCCCAGTTTGATCCATTTTTTTGATCTTCTATACTATATAGATTACCATTGAGAATTTCTTCATAAATTTTTAATGCCTCCCTTCATTAAAGCATTTACGTGCTTCCTTTCTAATATCCATAAGTATATTTTTGCCTTGTGCTAAAGGATTTAGGTTTGTTTTGGTTTCACGTGAATCTGGTTCAATCATATCAGGTAGTGGAGATGACGTAGTAATTTCAAGAGAATTTGTGTGTGTATTTATGTATTGACTAGAGGAAAAATTTTCAGACTGATTTAAATTTTCAGACTGATTTGAATTTTCAGGCTGGTTTAAATCATCATTAGATATGAGTTGATTTAAAGTATTGAAAACTGATTTTGTTTTTGGACGATTGGCAGGTTCCTTATTCCAACATTGTTCATAAAGTTCAACATAGTTGAGTGGTGTGCCTTCTATACGCTCCTCTCTATTTCCTTGAAATATATGAAAACAAAGCTCCATCTCTGATTCAAAGGTTTGAAATGGAGGCCTTCCACTTGAAATTTCCCATAGGATTACACCAAAGCTATAGATATCCGATCTCTCGTCACGTTTATATCCTTTCTTAATAAGACACTGAGGTTCTATATATGCTGGCATTCCGTGAATTTTCGAGTTTGAAATCATTGACATCTCATTTATTTGTTTTGACAGTCCGAAATCTGCAATTTTTGGTTGTTTTTCATGAATTAAAATATTCTTTGAATGCTAAATCGTTAGAACATTTAATATAGTGAATTTAAAATTCATAAAATATATGCGGTATAAAATTTCATATATAGTACGTAATATACTTACAAGATCTCTATGAACAATCTTATTTTCATGTAAAAACAGAAGGCCATGTGCTATATTCTTTGCAAGATACAATTTATCCGTCCATTTTAATCTTTTAAAATTTGCTTTTAAGTATTCTCGCAAATTTCCATCATTAGCAAATTGTAATACCATATTATAATTCCCTTGGCAGTCTATTTTATATTAAATATTCTTGATTATTGTTTTATATATTTTTAGAAGTTATAAAAGTATAGTACCTTTAGTAACTCCATAGAATGTAATGATATTTGGATGGCAACCAACTCTTCGTAGTAGTTTAAGCTATATTGTACGTTTATAGAAATTTAATATATAATTCAATATACAGTCAATTCTCTCTAAATGCAAACTCGCAGAATCAATAAGAAAAATTACATTTATAGAGTCTAGTCTCAGTGTTGTCACTGGGCCAAAAATTCTTTTATGGCAGTTTGCTCATACTTCTTACTGAGTTATTAATTAATGGATTGAACTAACTAAAATTAGAGTTGTAGGTGAAACTATTTGAGCTTCACCAAGTTTCAACCTGAGTGTCTCATTGATTATTATATTCAGTTTCACCAGTTTCATTCGCAACTTTATTTAAAACTGATGAACTAGAATTGAATGAACCAAACAATCCAGTGTCAACACTGAGTGACGGTCTTAAAGGTTGTATTTTAGGGAGGTATTGTATATATTTAGGTGGCTGCATTTAGAAAGCTTTATTATATAATATAAAATAATACCTCATTAATAAAATCTTTAATAATTTTTTCATCTAAACTTGTATCAACTTTAAGACATTTGAGGGCGATTGTTAATTCACAATCTTTCCATTCGTATTTAAAAACTTCCAGTACCAATCATTGTAGGGTTTGTAAACTTATCATATTCAAGATAATTAATATGTCCATTGAATATAGCATTTATAAGCCATTCTTCCGGTGTCTTTGTCATGACTACTGTACTAGTAAATTTAACGATCAAAATATTTTTTTTTTTTTTTTTTTTTTAAGTGAGGTCTTTTCCTCAGTTCCTTTATTATTCATTATGCAGATATTACATAG